TATATTTATATATATATATATATATATATATATATATATATACCACTAGTGGTAAATTCTAAATTAAGCGCACATTACATTCGGCTGAGAAATTACCCCCAAAAGATCATTTAAAGTCATTATTGTGTCCAGTGAGAAAAGCTTCCATTAGCATCAAAAAGTAATTTTAGAAAAATGTATTTTGTTCTGCTGTGGCTTTATACATAATATTTTCATTTGCAAAATTAAGCAAAAACTATTGAGAACTATATGAGAACATTGAGAACACAGTTGAGCAAAGAAAAAAATTGTCTAATATATGACACATTAGTTTTTATGTTAACATGTTAACTCAGCAGCCCTAAAATATATTTTCATTTTAAAGTATATTTGTGTGTGTAGGTTTGGTGTTTGACTATCAGATGCTGAAACATGAGTGTGACTGTAAAGATACCAGCTTTGATCCTGGGTATGCTGGCAGAATTATGAGTGTCTGGTCAAGACTGCAGGAGTGTGGCTTCAGGAATCAGTGTAAGGTAAACAATGCTGAACAGCTCATGAGGCTCTAACTATTATAGCAGTGGTGAGAATTTAACCTCTCTCTCTGTGTGTGCGTGCGTGCGCGTGTGCGTGTGCATGTGTGTTTGTGTGTGTTTGTGTCTTAGTTGGTTAAAGGCAGGCCGGCCACGTTTGAGGAACTTCTGTCGGTCCATTCAGAACAGCTTATTCATTCGTACGCTGGGTTCTCAGAAAGAACATCTTCCATACCATATAAAAGTCAAACAGACCATGATATGGTATTGAATAATTCCTGCAGTGCAGCAATACTGAAGATGTCAGTGGGCAGTGTGATTGAGCTGGCTTTCCGTGTGGCTGGAGGAGAGTTAAGGGTGAGATTCCCATAGTCTATCATTCTGTCTCCTATAACCTCAGAGCTTTGACCGGTTCAGATTCTTACTCCTTTTTCTGACTTATCCTCAGAATGGGTTTGCTGTGGTCACACCTCCAGGACACCATGCATCACATTCTCAAACATAGTGAGTTGCACAACTGCGGACACGTGTTTTTTGACGTTCAAAACAGGATGTTTAGCAAGCAAGCATATAATAATAACCATAATTTCATGGTCATTCCTTTTCTTGTGATGCCACATTAATACTGAGAAACTGAAAAACACAAGTTTAGGATCAGTAAGATTTTTTTTTAAATAGAAATGAATACTTTTATGCCACAAAGACACATTAAATTGATCAAAAGTGACAGTAAAGACTTACATTGTTACAAAAAATTATATTTTATTCTATTTGATTATATATTAAGTAGGACAACTGTTTTCAAATTGATAAAAAAAAAAAGGAAATGTTTTTTTGAGCTCCTAATTAGCATAACATGATTTCTGAAGGATCATGTGAAATTAAAGATTAAAGGCTGCTGAAAATTCAACTTGGAAATCACAGTAATAAATAACATTTAAAAATATATTAAAATAAATCCTTTATTAAAAATTTTAATAATATTTCATAATATTATTGTTTTACTGTATCAAATAAATGCAGCCTTGGTGAGCAAAAGAGACTTTTTTCAAAAACATAAAAAAACAAACATTTATTACAAACCCCAAACTTTTCAATGGTAGTGTATGCAGGTAAATAATGCTGTGTATTTCTTTGTGTTTTTTTTTCTTTCTTTTTTTCCCTCTCTCATTCTCTCTCTTACAGTGGTTCCAGTATCTTTAACTCTGTGGCCATTGCTGCTAAACAGCTTCAGGAGCAATTGAAGGTTACAAAGATCCTTATAGTAGATTGGGTAAGACACACACACACACACTGTTTTATGGGGACAATCCATAGGCGTAATGGTTTTTATACTGTACAAACTGTATTTTCTATCGCCCTAAACCTACCCCTCACAGGAAACATTCTGCATTTTTAGATTTTCAAAAAACGTCATTCTGTATGTATTATAAGCTTGTTTCCTCATGGGGACCTAAAAAATTTCCAAATTTACTGGTATTACTATCGTTGTGGGGAAGTTATAACATATACAATCATATCAAAGTTATAAATGATATGATTGTACAATAGAAATTGCAGGTAATTTGCCTGGTCAGGATTTCAAGTTTTACTCCTTCCAATCTCTTTTCCTTCAACAGTCATAATTTTTTCTATTTCATTTGGCAATGCTAGAGGCACAAAAATTCATTTAGTCCCCATAATGTGATAAATACCAATTACACACACACACACACACACACACAGTATTTGCCTTAGATATATTTCCACACTTACACATACTTGCAATTACTGATAAATGCCCATTAGCTTTTTTCAAAGTTATAAATGGTATGATTGTACAATAGAAATTGCAGGTAATTTGCCTGGTCAGGATTTCAAGTTTTACTCCTTCCAATCTCTTTTCCTTCAACAGTCATAATTTTTTCTATTTCATTTGGCAATGCTAGAGGCACAAAAATTAAACACTTCACCTTCAAACTTTGATATTTTTTTTTTTATGATTTTTGTATGAAAAGTTTCCAAATGATTTGTGTGTTTTTTTCATCACTAATCATTGTGTTCCTCTGGACTTTTGTCAGGATGTTCATCATGGTAATGGAACTGAGGAGATATTCTACACAGATCCTAGTGTCCTCTATATATCCCTGCATCGCTATGACAATGGTTCTTTCTTCCTTGGAAATGGACAACCCACGAGGGTTAGTTTTGTGTACATCCCTTTATGAAACTAGTGAGTGTGTTTGAGATTTGAGCATGAGTGTGCATTCTGTCGGATTACTCTGTCTGTATGTAAATTTAAGCTGCATGAATGTGTTACAGGTAGGATCAGATAGAGGGAAAGGCTATAATGTAAATGTGGCATGGTCAGGAGGCCTGAATCCTCCAATGGGAGATGCAGAATACCTAGCTGCATTCAGGTACTCTTTTGATGTAATTTTAGTGTGTCTAGTATCATTCGCACAAATTAAAAATTCATCATTTGTCATTTACAAACCCTCATGTCATTCCAAACCTGTGTGACTTTTTTTCCTTCAGGGAACCTGTTTGCAATTCTGTCTGGTGCCAATGTTAAGTCTACATGAACTAAATAGCTATATATTCTGTCTCTCTTTATAGAACGGTAGTGATGCCAATTGCTCACGAGTTTTCCCCAGATGTGGTGCTGGTTTCAGCTGGTTTTGATGCTGCAGAGGGTCACCCAGAGGCTCTGAGTGGATACAGAGTCTCAGCAAACTGTATGTATTAGAAATACATACTGTGACCATAGAGTGTTTACAATTTCCAAGTTGTCTAGTTCTCAAAGTTGGGTCCGCAACCCATAGTCAGGGGTCCGCAAAATAGGGAGATATGATTTCCGCGATGTTGTATGTCACAGTAGTTTTGGATAAATAAATCAAAAGTAGGTCAGTACACGTAATCAAACTGCGACATGGACTTGTGTCTGTTAATATTAAACTGCAAAAAGTCTGCTATAATAATAATAATGATGCAATTATTAAAACTTTCTTTTTAAAGGAATAATCACACTATTTTTATTCCATGCTTTCATTTTTACAGCAAACCTCTTCTGTACAGCACTTTTTTCCCCCAAAATTAAAAGGAGTTGTTACATTTTTATTTCATTTCATTTTAAAAGATTAAATTGCTAACGTTTTATGCCTTCATTTGATTACCACCATTTCTGATAATAAATATGTATTAAATTATAAATCCAGAAAAATTCAAACACAACTGCACCGAATTTCTGAAGAAAATAAAACATTTCATATCGCAATATTTTTGTAAAAATCTAATATTTTACAAATAAATTGTAAAATATTAAGTTGCATTCATCAGACATGCTTTTAGATTATTAAAATTTAATTAAACCATTAAAATGGTATCCAGAAAAATTTAATAATATTTATATATTTTTTTTTGTTTCAAATAATTAGACATAATTTTTGATTACAATTTAATTTAACCATTGACAAAAAAACAGAGTCCAGAAAATGATAAACAAAAAAAGTAATCCAGGTAAATTTAACATAATCCAGAAAAGTGAAATATTCCAGAAAAATGGAAGTTCCAATGGCATCAAATTGTAGTAAATATATGCTTAATTGCTGTTATAATTATGGGGTCCTTGGAAGATTTTCTCCCCTGTAAGGGGTCCCTGGCCCCAAAAAGTCTACAATATTTTTTAAATATTGTTCATATTTAATAAGCATGAAGATAGACAGCACATACAAATAAATACTTGGTAAAAATGCATTTTTTAATTTCCTTAACTCACTGGGATTTGCAAGAGCATTTCATTATATTATCTGAGCCGGAGAGTTTTTGTGTTGTTTCTGCATTTTTCTTGCTCTGTAGGGTTTCCCCTTAGGAAAGTCCTTCAAATACTTCAGATGGAAAGCAGAAGAGCTTATAATGACTTGGCATTTTTGATGGGACTCAAAAGTTATGGCCGTATTATAGTCATGATTTAGCTCTCAGCTATCATGAACTGTTAAATCAAGAGCCACTATAATGCCTCCAGGATGTTTCTGTGAATGCCATTAGTGTCAGTATGACATGTGCCACTGACCGAATATGCAAATGATCATTTGAAGGTTTTGATATTATGCGATATTTCTCAGGTTTCGGATTCTTGACCCGGAAGTTAATGGAGTTGGCTGAAGGTCGAGTGGTGTTGGTGTTAGAGGGAGGTTATAACCTCGCATCCCTCTGCGACGCGTTGCAAGCCTGTGTCAGTGCTCTCATGGGAAATGAGGTGTGTGTGTTTACAGATGCCCACATGAACACATCAACACCTTGAGTATTGTGTGAATGTTTGTATGTTTTTACAGCCTGAGCCTTTAGATGAGGAGGAATTAGTGAGGAAACCCTGTATCAACGCAGTCGAGTCTCTGAAGACAGTTCTACATGTTCAGAGTGAGAATCGTTCGGTTAGCGTTGTCCATGTCTGTTTTCTGTGGTCTTTTTGATCTTTTCTTTTTTATACTACTCTCTCAGGCAGGTACTGGCATTCAGTGAGGTCTATGGTAAACACTGTGTCTCTGTCCTACGTGAATGCGGAGAGGAGATACTCGGCAGGCAGTGAAGCTGCTTTAGTCCTGAATGGCCTTCATATGACTGTTCCAAGCAGCAGAAGGTAAGACAGCAGTATAGAAAGAAAATACAAGAAAGACCTGCTGTAAGAAAAAGGAATGGAAGAAAAATCTTCCAGATCCAACATTGCAGAAAAAGTGGGCTAGCACTGTTGCACTGTAAGAGCTTTCAGTATTAGCATACTGATGGACTAACATGGCTAGATATGGAGTGACCTGACTATTGAATCTTTTGATGTTCTCTGCTCTATAGTTCCCTAAATGAGCCTATGGAGCATGATGAAGCTGATTCATTGTAGAAGCCAGTCTGTCTTATTTCTGGAAGACTTTATTCCTCTCCAAGCAGAAGTCGGACATCCAGTGCTGTAACAGACTATGATGACTGCAGTGTTGACACAGGAGACAATCCTCAGGAACTTGGCTGAACAAAAGAAATTCACATCTCGTGAGTGATTTATTGAAATGCTGAGTCATTTGTTTGACGAAAAAGGTTTTACTCATGAAGCCTCTGGGCAATGTCAAATAAGGATATCATACAGACAGGAAGTGAAAATTTATGAGAAACATCCTTACCCATGCAGAAGCATTTGGTTAATACACTACCTTTCAAACATTTGGGGTCAGTCACTTTTTCAAACATTCAGCAGGGATGCATTGCTGATCTTTTGACGTTTTAATTAGCCAAGGAATGAAAAAAAAAATTTTTAAACATTGACAGTAACTAATGTTTCTTAAACACCAAATCAGCATATATTAGAATGGCTGCTGAAAATTCAACTTTGCCATCACAGGAATAAATTACATTAAAAAAAATAGAAAACAGTTGTAATAATATTTCACAATATTACTGTTTTTACTGTATTTTTGATCAAATAAATGCAGCCTTGATGTGCATGAGGCTTCTTTCAAAAACATGAAAAAATCTTAGCAACCCCAAACTTTTGAACTGTAGTGTAAATTGTTACTGTTTAAATGTGGACTGATAAATGACTAGTTTTAGGCATCTGTTAGTTTTACATTCAAATCTTTGAAATGATCAGTAGTCCTTGATAACTTTAAAATGATCTTGGCAATTTAATTATAAAAGCTAATGCTAATTGCACTTTATATTCATCAGTCATTACAAATTTAAAAAAGGAAAAAATCCTGAGACATTTTGCATTGTGTTCAAGTTAAGTTTTTGCCATTATTAACAGTGACAGATTTCCCTCAATGAATATGTATTCTTGTATGTCAAGTATATATATAGCAAGCATAAAGTGTTGCTGTGTCAGTTAGGATGAAATTAATTTCTGAGAATATTTTATTTCCTTTTTATTACCAAGCTGGTCTAGTTACATTTGAATGTTTTGTGAAATACCATGACAGCACTTGCATATTTTTCAGTTGTGTTTTTTTTATATTCATGTTTTTATAGTCTTTTCATTTCACTCAATTGTCTTCAAAATGTTTTGCTGTTCTCAAAATTAAACAAACCTGTATTTTTACTTCTTTTTTTGTTAGTTTTGAAATCAAGAAGCATGTCAGGTATCAGGTTATTTTATTAATGGGTTACTGACAAATACATAACGTTATTGATTTCATAATACAATAATGGATATGTTCACAAAAGTGCCTGATATGTCAGGCAAAGCAAAAATCACATTCTAACAGTATAATAATGTTTTGTGTAAATATAAAAAGCTCAACTTAATATACCAAGACAAATGCATGCAGTATTATCTGAGTGAAATTATACTAACCAACACTCAGCCATATAACAGGTGACAGACATAAAAACCTCTAACCCTGTTTGTCTTGTGAAAAAAAAAAATGCTACAAAAATCCTTCATTTCATTCAAATGCGTGCTGGATGTTGCTCTCTAATGCTTTGGGGTCATAGAAGTACAAACAAGAAGAGAATTTGGGCTTTCCACATAACATCCCTTGCCAGTAAAGCCTCAAAGATTTCCACATGAACAAGGTTTGTGATTGGTTATACCACATTTCATAGACAATAAAGTGCTTATTTTAAAAACCAATAGATTACCTAAATGCTATGCAATAGCAGGAGGAAACGCACCAGCTTAACAAAAACCTGTCACTTATCCTTATCCCATAGTGAGACATTCAAGAAAACGGCAGCAAGGAGAAAGACAAAAGACTCCTCTTAATACCTCATTCAGAAATGCAACGTATAAACCATACATACTGAAAAGTGAAAAGGCTCAGAAATGTTGATTTTGATCATAGATATTAAAAAGTCCAAAATTGAAAATCACTGATGACATCCTTCATCCAGGACAGCCAATAGCAGAAAGAGAGAGAAGTGGTACACTAATGTCTCCAAATACTAAAAAGACTAACTCTCCTCGTCGAGTGTTCCTGGTCCATTTTAAATGGTAACAGCCAAGCATGTTGTACACTTATTTACTTGTTTGTCTGTGGGCACGAGTGTGTTATTGTGTGTATATTTAAAAGTCACTGAGGATGGAGATGTCTGCAAATTCTTTGCGATATCGATGAGAATAGAGGGCCAGCAGAAACGCCCACTTTAAACTCATGAAGCTCCACACACATGACAGGTACAGACTGGTGGGATCTTTGAGAGCTGTACACACACACACACACAAAAACACACACACACAAGGAGAAAGCAAAACAATTTTTTAAAGTTTAATGTCCTGACATCCACATCATATGAGACTGATATGATAAACACTTTACTTCACACCTAAATGCTACAAATACAATTTAAAGTCAAGCATTCGAGAGTTTCATGAGCTTCAGAACAGATCTCCACTCACATTGCTTGCGGGAGATGGCGACACAGAGGAAAGAGATGAACGCCACGATGGACAACACGGAGAAAATGATGCCTATGACCAGGAAGAACTTCAGTCCCTTTAACCATGTTCTCCAGAAGTCCTGAAGGTACATTATGTGTGTGACCAGAGCCCATAGTGCCAAAACACCTGGAGAAATACATAAACACAAAATTCAAAACACATAAACTGACCATTTTCAATCAGAAATTACCAGTAAATATTAAACAACTACAAAGAAACGACAAGTAACGTTGAATAAAAAGTGACATTTTGAATTAGAAAAACTGAAATTGTATTTTCTGGTAAAACATACTCCAATAATCTTTGTTTTACTTACAACTTTGGAAAATGTATTATTATTATTTTTATAGTGTACTGGTTTTGCAAGTGCGACTGAATCCATGACTCTGCATTTATTATTGCCTTGTCATCCTCACATGCATGTAAACTGCTGTGTTCCTGTTTGATTCTTTTGACACTGCTATTTTCTCTCAGTTCTGCATGTGCTGTTAGATTCGCAGAAGAGCGTTTTGGGATATTACACAACAAAGTAGACTCTCCCTGACCAACACCACCATATTTCCATTTTAAACACAGCGGTGTAAGTGGGTAGGGTGTTTACTATAGTCACACTTTTCACTTGCTCTCATACAATAACACTATAAATATTAGGTTAGTTCATGTGACATTTCAAGCAGTGTCCTGCAGTGTATTGTTGTATAATTATTATAAAGGCTGTTTTTGTGCCCTCACACACAGAGGAATATTACACACTGCAGGACCATTTAAGTGAACTGCAAAAATGGTGATTTATAGCAGTGACCAGTTCTGAAATATACTTTGCTTTATAATTTTTAACCTACAATGTGTTGAAATAGTTAATGGACATGTGATTGGTCAACCGTCTAATAACTGAACGGACCAAAAATCAGCAAAATCATGCCATTCTTTTGCAGCAGAACTAGACTGACCAAAGTGTACTTCTAAAAGTACAGCACAGACTATGTGAAACTATATGACTCTCTTGCACAACACAAACTCAAAGAGCACAGCGACGAATCAAAGTGCACTGAGGAACGGACATTTAGTGAGGCCAAAATCTCAAAGCTTTTGCCTGTATTTGTTAAGTTAAAGGTGTCATATCCTTCTCATACCAAACACCAATATATCGGACAAATATAATTTAGATATGGAAACAATTAAGTTGTCAGGCCAGCTTCTGGGTGTTTCTACACAACTCATCGAACATGTTGAATGGGCATTTGTGGAAGGATTTGTGTGAAATACCTTTCAAAATTTGGGGTCAGAGGGTGTTTTAATGTTTGTACAGTTGTGCACCCTTTTTTTAATGTAAAAGTATTAACTGTTAATTTTGATCAATTTAATGCATCCGTTCTGAGTAAAAGTAAAAAATCTTATTGCTCCAAACTTTTTTTTTTTAAGTATTTAGAGATCCCACCTAAAAATTGTAGGTAAATTTTTCCTTATAAAATGTCTTACTGTTATTAAAAAATGGAAAAGGTTTGGTGTAGCATTTTATGCTACATTTATGCTACATTGTCCATATTACACACAATGTTTGATAACTACTTTTGGACTAACAATAACAATTGTATAAGCTACTCCAGGAAAATTAAACAACTTGTTCATTACTCACTAAAACGCAGAAGGTTAAATATTTAGTGTATTAAACCTGCATTTATAAATACTTTATCCAACAAACATGTTACACAGTGAACACAGTTTTTAACCCTTGCACTAAAACTGATTAAAAAAAATAACAGAAGATTAAATTAGATTAAAATGTAACATTTCTTGCGCTGCTTGACAATTAAATACCTTACAGAAAAAAACGGAATGATGTTATTCATCTATGCATTATGAAGCAATAAACATTTTAACTGAGTTGTTTGTAAAGTTCCCCATCTCAGAACTAGAAAGGATACAGAAATTTTAAGTGTCCCAAACTACTCCCCGATTAAAGGCTCAAAAAAAAGAAGGAAAATTAGCAGCAATATTTACTTTAAATCCATTTCTCCATGACCTTAAACTAGAGATTTGCCAACCTAGACAATATTTAGGCATCAAAGGCGCGTTCCAAGTCAGCCTATGATGGCCAAAAATGCTGTCTAGGTAGGCAACTCACCTGCATTTGAAACACAGACAACATTTTTTACCTGATAATCCACCCATCGCGGCTGTACACGGCTGGTTGTAAGCGATGTTCCACACTAGAAACGCCGAAAATCCCACCAACACCCCGACACACGAGTAGCCCACGCTTATGTAGGTCTTTCTGATCGCCATTCTTGCCGTCAATTCCACACCTGAATGAATAAGGAAAATATTATTTAGAAAACCCCAAAACAACAAAGAACTATCCAGTTACTAAAAATAGTTCTGGAGCATCCGCTCTTTTGACCTGGAGACAGCGCTGATCCAGCTGCAGTAACAGCAACTAATGATGAAATGTCATTCACCGAGGTTTTATGAAGGACAGTAAGACCGCCTCAAACGATCAATACACATTTACTGTCATTTACTGCTCCATAATCCGCCGTGTGTTATTGTTGCTCTTCGCCGAGGTACAGCACAAGAGCAAAAGTGAAATTATGCGCCCGTTTAACAGAGAACAGCGACGCCTTCGGGTATGGATGAAAACGACACGTCTCTTAAAGACACACTTGATGAACTATATAATGTTCCAAAAATATGTAACATCAAACGAATCTTAAGATTAGAATGATGCGAAATTATGTAATGTGAGAAACGGTACGTTCATGTAACATTAAGTTTATTATCTAAGTGTATTTTCTTTATTAGTCGTACTTCTATCACTATCAGTGACAGTAAATGCGGTGACGTTAGTGATGAAAGTAAAAGTTGTAGTGGTATTAATATAATTTACATTATGTGGGACTTCGAAATAGAGCTAGTACGTGGTAGTATTTTTTAATAGAAGCTTCAGGCTATTTATTGTATTCAATGAAATTACACTTTTTTTTCATAGACTCCAAAAAATGAAAATGAGTGTACAAAACTGTGTGCAAATTCTACTAGTGTCCACTAGATGTCACTAAAACGTTAAACAATGGTTTTAGTTCCTACAAAACGGCCGACATATGTGTACAGCGTGTTTTGTCAGTAGGTTTACACCTGTTCACTTCTAGTCCCAGCCTTAACAAAAAAGGAAAATACCATCGTTTCTTAAGCAATTGCTACTATGACACAACTATGGAAATTCGGTACGGTCATACACGGTTTCTCATTCTAATTTATTATAGTGGCTTAGTAGTATCAGTATACTAATAGTCAATAAATTTTACTTTAACTGCTACTTGCCTAATAGTAACATTGCCTATTGTATTTTATTTGTAATAAAAAAAATCTAAATCAATCAAAACTTGCATTTTTTCCACTTTGAGCAGGAGTACTGGACATACAATAAATCAATATAAAACACTTTTTTTCAGCTGTCAACTTTATTGTAGAAAAACAATATTATATGTTCTCTGTACATTTAAGAAAGCAGTTTCACAGTAATACTCACACTTTTTTGGGTCCTGTAAACATTGTGAAAATCTTGGTAGTCAATCTTAACACTGACATATGTGAGAAACAACATAGACATCAACATTACATGGTTAACAAACACAAAGAAGAGGCCATTGGAACAGCCACATAAAAAGTGTTTTAATACTCATTGCTTAGAAAATATTTTTGAAATATTTTTGCATAATAAACACCATTTTTACTGATACACAATATGTGGGTACATTCATGCAAATGAACAGTGAAGATACAACTGCAAAACTATGAATGATATATAAATTGAGTGATCAATATTAAGATCTATAAAAGACATGAAAAAGCCTGAAAACAGAACAAAGACTGTGCAGCTGTCTGCAGTCTTAAGGCTGCATCAGGAAGTTGTAAAGACACCGTATACTGAAAAAGTCAGTGTCTTTCATGGCTAGAGGAAAGGGCAGACAGAGTTCATATTACAACATCCAGTCATGCGAGCCTCAAATAGGCACTTAAGGGACCTCTGGTTCACATGCCATCCTGCGTCCCCCACTTCATGACATGTCTTAATCAGAGGTGATGCGCTGGATCAAGGACTCCTCGACAATGCCTGAGAGAAGTGTTAGATCCTTGTACTGGATCCAGTCCTGCTCTCTCACGCCCCATACAGTGCCCTCCGGCTGCAATATAATATTTCCACAACATTACAAAAATGTTGATGAGCAATAAAATGCAAATTTAATGATATCTTAGAATGAACAATGAGTTAATAATAATAAAAGAAGAAATAATATGAACAAATTTACAAAAAAGGGACAAAGAAAACACTAATGTAGTCCATACGAGTTATTCATTGACAAACTTCCCCACAGCCACAGCTCTCAAATCCTATTTCAACATGGCACGGCACGGCACACTAGGTTTGAAGTCGAAGCCAAACACGACTAGTTTTGAGAATGAACATGACTTGGCAAGTGTGAATATGTGAATGCATGAATAAGCCATAATGGAAAGCAATTATTCAGGTAATAAATTTGGAAAGAAAAAAATAATGAATTGTTTTATATTTTAATATATTTGAATTTATTCCTGTGATGGTAAAGCTGAATTTTCAGCAGCTATTACTCCAGTCTTAAGTGTCACGTGATCCTTCAGAAATCATTCTAAAATGCTGATTTGGTGCTCAAGAAACATTTCTTATTATCAATGTGCTGCTTAATATTTTTGTGGAAACTGTGATACATTTTTTCAAGATTCTTTGATAATAAATGGTCCAAAAGAACAGTATTTCTTTTTAAATAGAAGTATCTGAAACATAAAATGTCTTTACTATCACTGTTGATCAATCCATCCTTGCTGAATAAAAGTATTAATTTCTTTAAAAAAAAATCTTATACAAGGTTTTATTTAATGGTGACAGAACCACAACCTTTCCAATTTCAAGCCCTGTTCTTAGCTGCAAGAAGCTCAAGTTAGGAAAACCCTTAAACTGCTGTGCCATACATCCTTATGCCTACTCTATATATAACTCACCTTTTCTTCTTCTTCATCGACATATGTAAGGATCACATCTCCCTTTTCAAACAGTAGAAGCACACCTTCATCTGAGTCCTGATCCTGCAGAGCAACAGCCTGAAAAAAATCAAAACAAATACAAATGATTACCTACACAAATACAAATCAATGGCTGTCTCAACACTCCCAAAGACACTGTACCTTATAGAGGAAGCCAGGAGGATTTTCATAATCTATCTTTTGGACTTTCACATCGTCGCTGCATCCTGATGCACATTGATCAGTCTCTCCTTCATCTTTCGTGGAGGTGCTGGATCTTCGAGGAGTTGGGACTGGTGCAGTTTTGTCTTGGGCATCTGATAAGGACTCATTGTCTCCATCTGTAGATGCATGATGGGTTTCTTCTGATGCGGCTGCTGATTTAGTTTCCTCCTCTTCTCTAAGCTCAGCAGCTGACACTGAATCTTGATGTTCCTGGCCGTTTGCTTGCACAGACTCATCATTGGTAGTTTCTGATGCGTTTTCAGACCGAACCCCTTCACCCTCAGAACACAAAGACTGCCGCTTGGGTGTGTTGGGTTCACTGTCAAAAGAGTTGGACTCAGAGTCTGATATTTCAGATGCTGTGCTTCCTGTGCTCTTTGAGGGAGTGTCTGAGCGCGTGTCCGTGTGCTTGAGGGTGTTGGGCATGCTGAGCTTGCTCGTGGCCGGATGATCAGGAGGGAAGGCGGTGTTACAGGGGATGGGGGCAGAGATCATAACGGACTTTCTCTTCTTTGACTTTGAACTAGTTTCAACAGGAAGTAAAACAAGGCATGAGACAATGAGACAATTCTTAGATTTGCCTTTAATTGGTACAATGTCTTCCTGCTCACATGCAATATACAATGGCTACAAAATGTATTTGAGCACTCAATCTACACTTACAACCAAGTGGTATCTCTAAACAAAGAAAAGTCTATTCAATTCAATACACATTATTTCCCAAAGGGGAAATCTTTAATCATTTGCCACTTTTGCAATTTGATCTAACCAACTTGTGCCAGCGTAATTTTAAAGGATGTATAAAGTACACTACCATTCAAAAGTTTGGGGTCAGTAAGATTTTTAAGTTTTAAAGAAATCTCTTAGGCTTACGAAGGCTGTATTTATTTGATCAAAAACAGTAATACTGTGAAATATTACAATTTAAAATAACTGTTTTACTATTAACTATTTTAATGCTTTCAAATATAATTTATTCCTGTGATGGCAAAGCTAATATGCAGATTTGAGAAACATTCAAGAAACATTTATTATTATTATTATCATCATCATCATCATCATGTTGAAAACCGTTTTTCAGGATTTTTTCAAAGTAAAAAAAAAAAAAAACAGCATTTATTTGAAACAGATGTTTTATTACAATATAAACATCTTCACTGTCACTTTTGATTAATTTCACTTCTACATTTTTTTTTACTTTCGAATGGTAGTGCAACTTCCCCTGAAATTCACGCATCATTGATCAGGTGAGTAATCATAGATGTATGATATACATCATGTTCCATTAAGCTAATAACAACAAATTGTACAAATACTTTACTTACAAATATTTTGTGAAATGTTTTTTCTGGAAAAGTGCTTTTGCTCTTCTTTTGAAACATTTTCTTATTTTATGTAAAGCCATTTATACATTGCAAGTATGGCTCAACAGTTTAAACTTTTAGGCCACTGTAGATCTTTATAGAAATTAATTATTTGCAAATACAGACATTACCTGTTAAGGCCTTTGACGATGAAGGGTGTGGTGGAGTGCTGATCTTCAAGCTTCTTCATCATATTATAAATGTTATGATTCAACTGAAACATGATATTAAATTGTCAATCAGCAACAATGATCTCATTAAACAATGTTACTTGAAAAGAAATCTTGTGAGTCACACTGACTTTTTTAAGGGATAGTTCAACCAAAAATGAAAATTCTGTCATTAGTTACTCACACTCATGTTGTTCCAAACCTGTAAAACTTTCATTCATCTTTGGAACACAAATTAGGATATTTTTGATGAAATCTGCATAGACAACAACACAACTGACATGTTCAAGGCCCAGAAAAGTAGTAAGGACTTCGTTAATATAGACCATGCAGCCCCTGTGTTAGCAGCACCACACATATGTGTCAGGGTACTCTCGTGAAGACTGACACGGAAGAGAATTGTTGAATAAAGTTGTTATTTCTGCTTTCTTTACACAAAAAGAGAATTCTTGTAGCTTCATATACTTAAGATTGAACCACTGAAGTCACATGAACTATTTTAACGATGTGCTTACTACCTTTCTGGGTCTTGAACGTTTCAGTTGCATTGCTGTGTATCAAGGGTCAGAAAGCTCTCGGATTTCATCAAAGATATCTTAATTTGTGTTCCCAAGATGGGCAAAAGTCTTACGGGTTTGGAAAGACATGACGGTGAGTAATTAATGACAGAATTTGTATTTTTGGGTGAACTATCCCTTTAAGTTTAATGAGTTAATGTAATTTTCTAAAACCCTGCTAGTTAAATGGCTCAAGGAAGAAGAGCACACCATGCATGTGAATGTCCATCCTAGAAGTACACAGTAAAACAACTCACAAACACAAATGTTACATTTCTTACCATACTCATTTCCTTGTAGAAGACATCACGTAGGTTTGAGATGTTCTGGAACATGGTGACATAGCAGCTTATACGGCTGAAAGCAGGAAGAGAGTGTAGCCAAAAGAAGTTACATTATTATTTGTACCACCACAGCTCCTCAGTGACAGGAAGGAATTGTCTGAATGTATTTATCTCCTATAAGTTTCATTTTTGTTAATAAAGCTGTACTAACCTTTGATAAAGAACAGGCAGCTCCTCTCTCAACTCCTTGTTAATGTCTTCAAATACCTCCTGTGCTTTATTGAACTCCTCCTCAGCCTGACAAGAAACATCACCAACGGTCATACAATTTAGTTGAATTATAACAATAAACCATTATAAAATGGGATATTTAAATGATCAAATGTGAGCTGACCTTTGATATTTTGGCCTCATCTCTCTTCTTGGAGTTCTGCAGTGCCTCCAGATGATGTCGAGCCGAATCGTAGTCAACCATCTTCCTTCCTCGTTTTGCCACTCTTTCCTGCAAGATCACAATATTAGAAAAAAATTAAAGCTACCGTATCTTTTTAAGAATTGATTTTCAAGTTCTATGTAAAAACCACATGAATTTGCTATTAATTCAACACCATGATATACATCAAAGTACCAAGGTGTTACCACTGTAAATTAAAGCTGTAACTAATGAATATATATAATATAACTAAGTATTTTCAATATTCAAAGGTGTGAGAAAACTTCAGCTAACACCTAACTTGACAATGTTAAAAACAGACCTTAAACACTACCCCTGACAACCTAGCAAAAGCACACTGAACAGACCTAGACTATGGATAGTGAATAAATAATTGCAGTCATTTTAGCCTGTTCAGGTCCTTAATGAAGCAATTTTACGAACTTTGACATCTTGGAACTGTCCGGTATAATTCTCCATTGTTCGAACAACTTGATCGCTCAGCTTTTCCTCATAGTCATTCCACAGGAGATCCTCACTCTGCAATATAAAGCCAGAGAGATGATGAAGACAAGGAGAGTAGAGAGATTTTTACTATTAAATATCACAAAAAAGGCCTAGTTTACCTCCATTATAACAGTCAAGTCTTCTACACCATGCCAGTCTGGTTCATAGATATCTTTAAGAGTCTGGGACAGGCGTTTGGATGATTCATGCATCACTGAGAAACAAGGAGTGTACAAAACATCAAGTGGCAAATTCTTTTTAAACTGTTACACAATTTGGCAGTAGTCCTAAAACTCTGTATCTGCACGTGACAAGTCATTACAAGTTACAGAGATAAGACTGTATTAGCAAGAAATTATTAAATCCACCCATGAGTATCTGAAGTTTTTTTAAAGTATTCATCAAGCACTGAAAAACATACATCATTTGATGGAAATTTGTTAGATTAATAATTATTTTCAATGTACAGTTCAGATAAACATTTTTTTTATCTTCATACACATTCTCTGAAAACCAAACATATATGGTTTAGTATAACTTTTAGATAGCAAAAATCAGAGATTTAGCATTGATTTTAGATACTGACAACAACTTCATCCTTTTAAAACACCTGGGGGCTAAAAACACAAGCAGTGACTTGATGGTTTCCACCAAAACTATGCAAGAAGACCACAAACATCTTGAGTCTTCCTCAGTCTCTCCTTCATATTTTCATAAGCCTCTGCAAACTGACATCTGGGCAATTCAAGTGGGAGCATCAACTATTCTTGTAGACATTTACACAACAAGCATTTTCACTTCCATTAATAAGAGACATTCACTTCCCCAAATGCTGAATCAGAGAAACAACCAGGACTATCTTTGTCAACTCGTCTTCTCATGCTAAGAACGAGACACCATCTCACTTTCACACTCACCCAGCAGCCTACAGGCCAACCACAACAACATCTGAGCACAATTAGCAAGCAATTATAAATTGTGTTATTCTCTGAATCCTTTTTGAAACAAATATCAAGATTCAAAACAAGATTTAATCAGTAACTGTCAATTTTAAAAATTTATTATTAAAATAAATGGCTGTACTTGATCATTTGAGTGTGACAGTACCTTTAACAGCATTGTAGTAAGATTTAACATCCTTATAGAGTCTGATGCCATCTGCCTGGAAAGAAAAAATAATATTGTGTTGTCTAAAGGCAAAAGGTTCAAGTATAATTATTTTAAATATTTGCATTTTTAAATGTGTATTAAAGACCTTAACAGGCAGCTTTTGGGAAATGGAACATTTTCAGAATCAAAATAGAAAATGTGTAGGTGTTGAGAAAATTACTTCCTTTACATTTTTTTGTACTTTCGGAAGCCAAAGATATTGCTAATGAGAGTCTTTAAAGCTGTTGTAGGTTGTTGTTGTTGTTGTTTTTTTTAAAATCTAAAAACATTCAATATTTTGCAAGAAGTTTTTTTTATTTATGGTTAAAAGAAGAAATGTCTTAAATCATTATGTTGATTTGATTGCATCTATAGAGTGTAAAACTATCTACCATCATTAAACAAATACAATATATTCTCAGTGGCACGATGCATCCAGGACATGGAATAGGATGTAAAGTTGATAAGTGAGAAACTAGGTCAACACTAGTCTAATATGATAAAGTTTGTTAGTGTTCATAATGGAATGTGGTACTAATCAAAAATAGCATTTTAAAAGGGCTTCCTGGGTTGGCTGACAGTATAAACAGTACAGAAAAGAGGCAGAAAAGGTCAGTCTCTGCTACTGTACAGCAAGTCACATATTGACATTTTCTAAAGGTGGAGTTTCCTGTGCTACTTTCAATGATGATTCTCTCCATGTTCATACAACACAACTCATCCAATGCAGTCCCCTTAAAAAACAGCAGTGTCCAATATTGAGTGACAGTCTGTGACTTGCTTGAGGTAACAAAATCTACTGTAACCTACAGCCCATGAGTGGGTGCATGCTTGTCGTTCTCTCAGACATATACTGTTGAAGTACCTGCTGTTTGTTCAAGTTGGCAGAGCACTCCTCAAACTGCTCATCTTTTGTCTCCATGGTTTTCCCCAGCTTCTGCAGGACCTACAAACAACACAATCACACTGAGAAGACCCACTACTGGTCAGTCATTTCTGACAAGAACTGCCAAACACGATATCAGGCAGAGGAACAAGAGTTGTCACTGTATATGGCCACTGAAATACGACACGCCAAGCGGTTCCACGTTTATTCTTGAAATATCAGTTGCAGCGATTGTTCCTTACCATGAGGAAAGATCAGAAATGTTCAAAGGAAGTATTTAGCAAACATAAAATTACCAAAATGTAAGAAAATTGGTGTTTTAACTTAAGAAACACTATGAAAGTGTGCAGTCTACTATAGAGTAAACTCTAGAAGAGGAGGTGAGCCTAGGGAGGAAGTGAATGAGGGCAGGAAGTGGTTGTCTTTGTGTTCACACAATTTCATTTGAAACAGCTATAACAACTGACACTATATTTACATATCTTCTGAACATTTGTACCAGTTTCTTTAGGCCTCTAAACATTTTGGAGCAAATATGTTGGATACCCACACACAAAATACACACCCAGAGCAGCATTACATGAAAGCCAAGGACCTGAACTCCCCAAAAAAACAAAAACAAAAACAAAAACAAACCCCACCTACCTTCTCTTGTGCTCGATTCATTGATTTCTGAAAGCGTTTGGCCAGGATGCCAGCTCCCGCGCCAATGTTGCCCCCAATGTTGGCACCTAGTTTTCCCTCAGCCATCTTCACTTCTGATCAGCTGGCACACAAGCGATCCTTCTCTCTGATGTCTCAGCGCTTCCTTCTATAAACTCACGGTTCCTGGGCGGAGTGAGCAGAGCGAGTGGGTGTGAAAGCACAGCGTGGCACAGTTAGTTTGCTGCGTATTAGTTTTAAAGACTGAAACTTACGGGACCCCGCGTCACGGCGGTACACTAACCGATTGTGCAACATTCCACAGTCTTGCCCCAACGTGTTTGGTATATTGTCATCGACGTGCGACGGCATCATCAAGAAGTCAACTAGTCATCAGTGTTTCCTAATAAACGTGACGGCTACATTTGGATAAATTCATGTCAAACTAAAAACCTCTGCACAGAGAGTGGTTCTATGTCTGCTGGACACTTTTAATGGGTTTTTATCACAAATATATATAAACAATATAAAACTGCATTAATTGACTACCGCTGATATAGGCTATAGTCTATGATCTTAAAATTGCGTCAGTTTGGAGCGGCTCTCTGCCAGTGGGTTATTTATTTATTTAGTGAAAAATAGAGTGTAAATGACTGTAAAACAGAATTCAGAATAGCATACTAGAATACTACTATTACTTTTTCTACCATATAAATTTGTAGCAGTTAAGTAAGTAACATTTATATACAGGTACATCTAAAAAAATAGAATATCATGAAAAAGGTCAATATTTTTTGTCACTCATTTCCGATATTCTAATTTTTTTAGATGTACCTGTAGCACCTTTCACAGACAAGGAGTCACAAAGTGCTTTACAGTAAAAATAATATCAAAACAAATTAAATACCAGCTGTACAAATACCACAAAATTCAATAACAGCCAAACCATGTTGTTCATTAAAAGTTTGTCCAAAAAGATGTATCTTTAAGTATAAAAAAAAAAAAAAAGATTCTACCCCATAGTTCTCAATGTTAAAGTAAGTGAGTTCCAGGGCCTTAGAACCACAACACAAAAAGCACGGTCCACTTTTGTCTTAAGACGTAGATGTTCTAGGAATAATTAAATGGTCTAGGCCAGAAGACCTCAAAGACCGGCTAGGGGAGTGTACATGTAATAGATCCTGGTCTGGATATAAACGCGTGCCTGACCATGCAGAGCTCTATAAGTAATAACCAAAATTTTAAAATGCACTCAAATCAATAGGAAGCCAATGAAGGGCCTTAAGCATGGGAGTAATGTGGGACCTCCTGCTGGTCCTAGTCAAAAGCCTTGCAAGTTCTGTACAACTTGTAATTGATCCATGGTAGATTTGTTCAAACAGTGTACAGAACATTGCAATAGTCCAAACGTGAAGAGAAAAAGGCATGAAGGAGCATCTCCATCTCTCTCTCTCTTTTTGAAACAATAGATCTAATCTTAGCAATGTTCCTGAGATGGAAAAAACATGAATGAACTACAGACTTTACATGACTGTTCAAACATAAAGATCTGCCAAAAATGACACCCAAATTTCTTATGTCACTGCAGTCAGAGGATGATAGACCCCCAATCAGGCACGTGCACAGGTAGGGCTCAACCTGTGCAGAGCACATGCCCTTTTTGCCCTTACACTCCGAAGTGCCCTTTTTTTGGTGATGGTGTTTTTTGTTCCCCTTAAATAAATCAATGATATTGGTCACCCCTTACATCTGTCTGTCTGCTTTACAAATATTTAGCTAATGAAAGGTATTAAAAAGAGCTTGTGACTAAATCTTGTAACATTTAATCATATTATATGGTCGCATGGCTAATTCATTTTTACGCTGTTAATATGCATGTATTCTAGCTAGCTCATTTTTGTATCTAGTATTCTATACTCTCTGCTCGTCTTCAAATGTATAAACGTAGTAAAACATGGTTTTACTACAGTAATGTTGTTGTAACCCAAAAAAACTTTACAGAATCAAATCACTGTGAAATCTTTATATTTTATCATGCATAATGTAATACATTATATTCTAAAGCTTTTGAGACTATTATTTTGTGTTATTTCATTTCGGGGGGGGGGGGGCCCTTTTTCAGTTTCAGCACATGCCCCTCAAAAGGTCTGTGCACGGCCCTACCCCCAATAACCTGCCTAATCTTAGGAGTAATGTTGTCAGGGGCAATAATCATCACCTCAGTTTTATCAGTATTGAGTTGCAAAAAATTGTCTGCCATCCATTTGTTATTGGAGACTAAACAATTTGCAAAAGGGACAGTTTGTCTAGTCTATCAGGACTAAAGGAAATATACAATTGGATGTCATCGGCATAACAATGAAAATATATTATTTTAAAATTTAAAACTAGTGTAGTATGGTAGTAGTTTTTAAAATATGATCTATATTTAAATAGTATCTGATTTAAAACATTTAAAATAAATCATTAAATATGTTTTTAAAAAAAAATTTAATTGTGGAGTTTTTTTTTAAAGAACCACACAGTATGTTTTATTAATATTTTTTATTTTTTGTTTTACAAGATACGAACACTACACTGTTGTATTAAATCATTACAAATCCCATATGCTAAATCCCATTTTACCACTCCATATGCAAATAACATGGCAAAACTGAGATGAGATCCACATTAAACTATTTGTTGTAATCTACAAGAAGCAGATAGAATTTCAGCTGTCATTTGCAGGCCAACTGTCTTGTTCTCAGTTTCACTCAGCTGATACTGTTTACACTATATCCCCATACAACAATATTTTTACTGTTATGCCAAAGGTGTGGGAACAAACAATGTATTTGCATTGTAAATCATTTGGTGTCACATTGAATTAGATTCCACTTCACTGCATCACAATGCTATAAATTTAATTATTAATATATTACATCAGTCATTGTGCTAAAATATAACAGCCAGATAAAAACAAACTCCATCAACGCAATGTTAAACATAGACTCCTATTGTACCATATCAGTACACATAAATACTTATTTGTTTGAGTGTGGCTATTACAGTTTTTCTCGATTGCTAAAACACTATAACCAGGCTTTTGAACTAAAATTTCAAAACCATAACGCCATTTTTCAAAAAGCACACCCATTTTGCTGAACTATAAACACTATTCCCCTGCTTTAACACATAATCCGC